CAAATGGAAGCATGGAGGAGGTTTGCTTTTTCCTGTGTGAAATGCTCTCCTACTCAAGGCATTCCCCAGCATGGTTTTGTCTGGCTGATGCTGAACTCAGTCCAGGCTCTCGCCCAAGGCTTGACCTTTTAAAAATCAGAGGCCTGAAGATATATTACTAGTAAGTTAGGACAACTCAGGGAAGATGCCCCCAAATACCTAGAGTGGAGGAGGGAGAGAAGCAACAAGCAGCAATGGAGATCATCTAGAAACTACACATTCTTCTTCCTTACGGTAATTGACAAGTAAGTCTTGTCGATTACTGTCCTGAGACAAACAGACCCAGCACATTCTCTCCTTCTGAAAGAAGGTCTTTTCTTATAATAGGTTCATAAAAATTCTTCACCTTAAGGCAAAGGTGGTTTGTGGGTTCATCTATAAATACATTCACTAAACAAGTACTTATCTTGTGCCTGGCCCAGGCACTGGGGAGAGATCAATGCAGAGGAGGAACAGGATTCCCACTCTCGTGGACCAGACAGCTGTAACGGGCACCTCACAACCAGAGAGTGCACTTCCTCTCATAGCTGGTCTTACTCAAAGAGGCCATTTGGGAAGAAAATTAAAACCATTTCTATTACCATGAAAACCTTGAGGGATTTTAATGTTCTAAAGCATGTCTCCCAAAAGACCTCCTTGTCTATATAGCAAATGAACATACTTCTGAGCAAATGACAAGCATGAATATTTCTAAGCATGAATAGAAATGAGGAGACAGGCTCTCCTCCACATGGGTTTTCAGATGGTAGATTCATCCTATTTCAAAACCTGCATGAAAATTCTGCACTATTGTATAAAAATGCATTGGTTGACGTGACCTAAAGGATCAAATTATCTAACTCTGAAAAGTAACATTATTCACCAAAAAATGGTCTGTTCAAGCAGAAAAAAAAAAAAAATGATCTCCTCTAGCTCGGTATGGAAAATTAGTTTACACACCGTCTCCTAACTGTTCCAGCTGTGCTAAATAAGAGCTATCATATTTAGTGAAGACACCACCTTAAATTCTTGTGATTTTGGTAAAAGGGTCTAATTATTTTTTGAAACTGTCATTTTTTTTTTGAGCAAATAATCCTAAACCTTTTATTACCCCGAGAAATGCTTGCACCTTCCCAAATGAGGAGGATTATTAGAAGGGTTATAGTCATCTCCAACCTTCTCCTACAGTCACCCACTGTATTTTTATTTCCCACGGATACACATCAACATCTGTCACCATAAATAATACTTTTCATTTGCCACTTTGATTCCAGAGTCAAAGAAAAAAGTCCTTAGTTAAAATATGTATCCTCCAATGGGATGTTCTCTCATCCTCTCGAATGCCTTCTAAGAGTATAGTTACTTAAAAATGAGAGTTTCGTGCTCGGGAATACCGTACTTCCTTTTGTGTGCCTCAAATAGTTTCCTTAGCTCTTCCATATAGGTCTGATGCAACTCCTCAATCTGCTCCGGGCTTGGGTGCAGAGTCTGATGAACAGGGATTGGGCGGCCAACTGCAAAAACAGAGAACACAGCCGACGTAAGAAAACGAAACCACTCCACCACAAACGGCTACCTCTCATGGACGGCTCTGGAAAGATCTGCCAATCAGACTCTGTCAGGCCTGCCTGCTCCAATCCCTTGCTCATTTTACTGGCTGCCTCCAACAGTCGCACCATCCCATTTGAGAACCAATAAAGAACTTTCCTTCTCTACAGTTGCTGGAGTGGAAGGCCGCTGGTGGTTTTGTCTTGAGTCAAGCGAACTACCGGGCTGACCACAGCTGTGAGGTAAGAGGACATAGCTGTGTGCAAACATCACCTGCCCTGTCCCTCTCGTACAGCTGACGGCCCGGCCACAGTACCCTATTGTGACCGACTCCAAAGTCTCAAGTCGTGAGGCATCAGCCCTCTCCTCTGACTCTTTTTAATTTCCTTCTAAAAATTTAAGGAATGTTTATCTTCACAGCTAAGAATCTGTATTAGAAAACACATACAATCACAAGAATCCCACTGTTAAGAGTGGAAAACAAAACTAACCAGAAGTCTCAGTAGAAAATTTATTAAATAAACCACTCATGCAACAGAATCCTAGGCAGCAATTTTTTTGAAAAATGAAATTATATGTGTACACACACACACACAGCGAGGTCTAAAAGGTATGGGGGGGGCAAGTTGTGAAATAATACAGTATGATCCCATTTGTGAAAAGATATTTATATTCCTAAGTGCGTAATAAGCTTTAGTGCATTTAAAAAGTCTAGAGACTTTTTAACCATTACCTCTAGGAAGGAAGGAAGGTAGAGATGGGGGACTTTTCAATTTATCTGTATGGTAGGAGTTTTCTACAATGAGAATGCATTTGTGTTTTACCTGTAATTAAAAATGAGCTAATTATTATGTAACCTGGCAACTTCTATACATATTTAAAAAGGTGTTTAGATTGTGTCTCAGACTGTTTGAAACCTTGTTACAAGATTCATGTGGCTTTGGCACCTGCTTTCCTGGGTCTTCCCAGCTCACTGCGCCCCCTGCTGCTTCCTGATGCCAAGAGTTGAGAACCTACAGGATGTTCGGTGACGTGCTGGGCAGCAAACAGCTTCTTATTACCCTCTATTAACTTGGGTATGAGGTCAAGTGGGGCCATAGATAATGGAATGGAACTCAGAGGGCAGAGAGGAGGTTTCCTCTGGCCTACTCTAGGTTGTTCCGTGCTACATCCAAGGTTCAAATCCATGTCAGTAACAGAAGGTGTTGAGTTAAGGAAAAACCAAGCAAATGTTAACGCAGAGAGAAAGAAGGAAGTAATAAATGACATCAGCATGGGAGGTAAGGTGGCACGGAGAAGAGAGTGAAACACACACACATATATAACAGAGTGTATTATTTTTTTTTTTTAAGATTTTATTTATTTATTTATCAGAGAGAGAAAGCACGAGCATGGGGGGTGGGAGAGGGAGAAGCAGGCTCCCCGCCGAGGATGGAGCCCGATGCGGGACTCGATCCCAGGACCCTGGGATCATGACCTGAGCCGAAGGCAGACGCTCAACCATCTGAGCCACCCAGGCGCCCTAACAGAATGTATTATTTATTTTTTTTTTTTTAAAGATTTTATTTATTTATTTGAGAGAGAGAGAATGAGAGACAGAGAGCATGAGAGGGAGGAGGGTCA